CGCCGGCCCGCCTGGCGGCTGGAGAGCCTCGACGGCCCTCGGGGACGCTGTCACCCTCCTCCTGGCCTGCTGTACTCTTGGCACCGACGGGATTGCCGCGGAGGGGAGAAGGAAGGCAGCTGCTGCCCTCTCGCCTGTGAGCTGTGAACACCTGGGGGAAGCGGCTGGAGATACTGGGGAGTGGGAGAGGAGGTTGGATGAGGAGGCAGATGGGCAGGCAGACAAGCACCATAGCACATGGCTTTGGAAGGAAGGAGTTGATGGAAGGAGAAAGCTGTGCCAATGGCCTTTGGGGAGAGGCTGGATAAATCTGGAAGGACGTCTCAGGAAGATGTCAATATGGAATATCAGCTACTTCAAAGAAGGAAATCATTTGGGGCATGGGATTGGCTTTAGTATCATAGCCCACATATTTTTAAGGCGTATTGTGCCTGAATTATCATTCTTAACAGAGTTAGACTCCAGTAATCAGTAGGCACTCCAGCTGTCAAAAGCGATTAGCCAGGTCTAGAACAGAATTAGTTTAAAAATTATGTCTTAAATGCATTTGCTGTTCGTTTTATCTGTGTTCTGTTTTCTACACCTTTTGGGTATACTGAGGCTACATCTTCCATTTTTCTCCACCAGGAGCAACTGAAATGCTGATGCTATTGGGTAGCAGTGTAACTTCGGAGGTGGAGCGATTATAAAAAAAGTAATGTTTTGAGTCTCATGAAAGCTGGCGACATTTCATTGTAATTTTGCTTCAGATGATCTGGGCTTGACTTTTCAAAAGCTACACACGTGGAATGCTTGTGGGAGATGTACTTATAAAATTTGTCAAGCCTTAAAAATACCCTTGTGAGCACAGAACTTTGTATAGGTAAGCTACACTACAACTTCCAGCTATTATAATTTCCTGAGCATGGTGTCTATCCAGCAGTGAATTGTGGGGAAAAGTTTGAATGCAGTTCCCTCAGCTGGTTCTAAAAAAGTGGAAAAACCTTTTCTTACTGTAAAAATAAATAAAATGAAACGACTTTTTATACATTAGGCATGAAGTAAAGCACAGTCCTCTTCAGTGACATTATGTGCCCTTGCTACATTTTGGTGCATCATTTTCTTTCAAAACATGTGAATGCTTTCTAAAAAATTCCTTCAAAATATCTTAATTTGCCACTTCAGTTGCATGAGTCTCTAGCCTCTATCAGACAGAGGATCTGAAAGGTTCAAGGACTATTGCAACAAAGAGAGAGTTCATTTGAAGTCAAACAGTGAAATCTTCCCGAAAATTCATAAGTCAAGAAAAAATGATCAAATTCTTTGTTTTAATAGATGCCAGTAACTTTTGCTTCATTTTTGCAGTGCTCTTCAGTGACTATGTTTTTTTTCTTTCTCATCACAATTTTTTCTTCCTGTAAAGATACAGAGAGATGTCTTCCTCAGTAACAGTAGCAAACATGAGAATTTACTGCTTATCCTCCTCGTGCATATTGATGTGACTGTAAGCTGCATAGCCTACTCAGGCCACTGACACTAATCATATTAAGTCCAGAGTTGGGCACTGTTTGTATTCTAGCATCAACGTCTGCATAACCTCCCTATGATTTTTTATTAGATAATTTTCATAATTTTTTTACTTTACATGAATCTGTTCCAGTTTCCATTTTTTTTCACAAGGATCCTAAAACAACCTGTAAAGCAATCAAACTGTTACATTTTCCTTATGCTTGAGTGCATTCTGTAGCTACCCTTTTAGGAAAAAAAAAAGTTCCTCTTTATGTGAATGGAATTCATTGTAGCTCAATAGGAGGTAGTAAAAAGTGAATTTTTTGTTTTGACCAGTGCATGCAAGACAGTTGTGGGGGCATTGTAATCACAATTTTGCAGGTACACAAAGAAATAAAATGGGGGAAGGGGGAAGTATGAAAACAGTTTCCCAGAAATAATGTAGTGCTTTCACATCTAATGAAAACAGGGAGTTGATTTCACTGCTAAAATTTTTCAAGATTCTGTAAACACAAAGTAAAATGTAGGTGTTATTAGAGTGTTACTACCAGTGCTCTTGTAAAAGTAAAATCATTCTTTTTTTTTGTTTGAAAAATACCCCAGTTTCTATAAATTTGTTTATGTACTGTACCAAGTAATTTGTAAAGGTCCAAGTTAATTCACCAGGAGCTGTGTCTGAGGCAAAATAACAGGGCCTAAAGTGAGTAGCTGAGGGTCTTGGATCTTTGTTTTCCCTTAATTTTCCTGCTTCCTGTAGCCAGTATTTTTATGATTGTTAAAGCTATATGTAGCTTTAAAACGCAGGGCTTCTTGAGGAGTGAAACTATTGAAAAGGAGGACTGAAAAGCAAAAGGTAATTGGGCTAACAGCTAGATAGAAATTAAGTAAAATTTGCTAATATCTCAATTTCATTCATGTTTAGTATATCTGTTCTGTGCTACGCAGATAAACTATTGCGCACTTGACTGGTCAAAGGGACACCCTATTCCTTTTGCAGTACCTTCATCTTCTTCCTCCATTTTCTTCCTTTCTTTTTCTTACCTTTTATGTAATGGAATCCTAGTTCAGATTCATCCCTGTAGTGTTACCCCAGTGTACGTTATTTTTATTAATAAGTCTGATTAATCTGACTAAACACTTTTAAGCAATTAACATACCTTAGTTCACATATGCATAGACTTCAGGAGTACTTTTGATATGGTGCTACTTGAGAAGTTTGTTAAGGAAGACATGGATTTATGTAAGAACTGTAAAATGGGCTAGGATCTACCTAAGAAGTAGATGGCAGTGGAAATTGTTGCAGTATTAGCACATTTCCTCAGTAATCAAGATTGCTATTGATTGTAACACATGGCACTTGCTTGCAGTTTGTTGTGTACTCTGCGTTCTGTTTTGTAGAAAAGTTGGGCTGAGCAGCAGGGAGAAGGCTGTGCACGAGCTGCTGGCTGCTGTGCACTGGTTTAGGGGCTGCCTTCTGGCATGAAGGTGACATGCTCTGAGAACAACTGACATTGGTCCCACCCTACAGATTTAACGTTATGTTTTCACATAGATTAAATGGAATTTTAATGGATTAGGAATATGCTGAGGACACAGCAGGGAAGAACCGGATGCTGAGGAAGTGGTGTAAAAGACTGGGATGAAATTCAAGAATACAAAATGATTAGGTACTTGGAGACTAATAACCCAAACTTCTGCTATAAACTATAAACTGTGAGATTATCAGTTAGAAGTGATTGAGGAAGTGAGGAACCTTGGAATACTAACAAATCGTAGGAGAACTGTGAGTTGCCAATACAGTACAGCTGTTAAAAAATAAAATGAAATCCTAGGATATATCAGATAAGGCATTTTCAGTCAGACAGTGACATGTTAGTGCCATTGCAAAAGACCTTATCTGAGGCATGTACAATTTTGGTTAGCCATGTTCAAGAAAATTGAGTTCCAGCTGGAACAGGTCAGGTCTTGCACCACTAGAATAATCAGAAAAATGAAGATGAAATGTAAGATGACTTTTGCTTGTTCAATATCTAGTGGTAAGACCTGGGGGAAGGGCGTGGAGGGAGGAGAGAAGAAATAGCTGTATAAAATTACCGCACAAACACACATACACACACGCACAAAATCTGTCTACATATTAAATATAGAAATTTAAAAAAATCTAAATATCTAGTGATGAGATACTTCAATAGCTTTCTAATGAAAATAATGAGGATGAATAACTTGTGAATTTAAGTTTAAAAATAGGATTATGATGTGGTGTCTGTAGTAGCAGAAATAGGTAGGTAATCTTAAGATTTTTAGGTAGTAGAAAGTGTAGGAATAGACATGTAAATGATTTAAAATAGAGGCAATTCCAAATCCAGTTTTTGATTGCATCACATGCCTTACAGTACATTGGAAAAAATAGGATTAGTTGAGGACAGAGTATCAACTTCAATGGCACTTTATCAGTGCATCCTACTCTACTCTGCAAAAGGACAGCAGCTAAACATAACTAATTAATGATCATCTTTCTCTTGAACAGTTGTGCTCAAATGTACCAGTGGCCACATGCACTAAAATGGGTATCTTAGGGCTTATCTGGTTCGGTGAGGGCTGCTTGTGCTTAGTACAAGCAAAGCAAATAGGAGTCAAAGACAAAACTCTAGTCTCTTGCTCCATTGGGTGTGGCTCTGCCTCTTGGAGGAGTAAATCTTTCTAAATAATGCTGTTGTGAGTGATGTCTTGTAGGCTTGCTGTCACATTTAGGCTGTCCTGTAGAACGCAGCACCCAGTATTATTAACAGTTGTTCGATGTGTGACCATTGGATAGCACAGTTACATTATTATCAGTTCTGTTACTGCAGACGGACAGAAGCTCTTCGTGTTAAATACATATTTTTTAAAATAATTGAGCAAAAGCTCAGGTCCTCCAATTTAGACAGCCAACATCTGTTTTGGTGCCTACGTCTCACTGATTTATATGATACATGTCTAAATGTTTTTGAGGATTTGGACCTAACATGCACAGAATAATCTAGCCTCTTACCCACAGCCTAAGATTCCCTGACCCCCTGATTCCTCACTAGCTACCACATTTGGAGTAAAAGATAGATACCGTTGGCTTACTTCTGCAGTTCTAATTTGATCATTTAGATTTTGTAATATACTATCATTTTAGTAACTATGTGTTAGCAATCCCTCAGATTCATTTTTAAAGTAGATCAGAAATAACGTAACAAAGTCCATTTAACAAGCTTATGTATATTTCTGTTAGCCACTTCTTGTGTTCAAAGTTTGATGCTTGGTTCAAATTGCAACGTAAAAATGAGGCATATGGTATCATGCTACCTGGGATGAGAAGGCATGTCTTTTATTTGAATCTTTCAGCTACGCTTCAGAGAGATTGATTTGAGACATATTACATTTCATATTCTTTTTATCTCTATGTAATTATATATTCCAGGAACAAATTCACATTTGCTTTAACATAGACAAGTGGTTTATGTGCTTGTTTCTTTTCTACTATCATTTCCAAAAATTGTACCATGTCTTCTTAAAAAAAAAAAAAAACAACTGTCTTCCTCCCCTCTAAATTATCCTGGAAATACATGAGAAGTGGTATGTAAGGTCACACCAGCAGCCTGTTAACTAAAGATGTAGGTTATTTTTGTTTTTTGTGTTTTATTTAGTTTATTTAGTTTAAGAAGTACTATAGAATTGTGCTGTCAAAGCTACTGCAAATGTATTAAGTTATTATGGCAATTACAATACATAATAAATACATTGTAATTTATATTCAGTTTATTTGAAATATAAAAATATTTCAAGAGAAGGTAAATGACACTCCCACTGAATTTAATAGGAGTTCACTGCTGAGCTCTTTTAAACATTTTCTTTGAAATCAAGAAGAGTTTTCTCTGTAGTGGATCAGGTCGCTAGACTCATCTTGATTTTTTCGCCAGATAATCTTCATGCTGTGAAGTAAGAGCTCAAGAACATTGGAGGGTGGAATGTTGAAGACAGAAAGAAACAAAAGGCTAAGCAGTAAGTGTGCTAAAGTTGCCAAATAGGGTGTTGGAATTTAAAAGGCTGATAATAAAGTTAAAGTTTGACCTGAGTGAAGTCACTGACTTTTAGTTCTTGTATGCCATTGGATTGTAAATAGTGGAAGGATAATTGAAAATTCTTAGCAGATACAGATTCATGTTATATTTGAATTATTTTGTGGGTTCAGAACTTTATATTACAGCTGGAAATGTTGTAAAGGATTTTACAGATCTTGCTCTGCAAATTTGGGAATTAAAAAAATACACAGGAAATTTCTACTCAGACCCAACATCTGTTTTTTGGTGAGATCCTGTTTTTGACTTCTCCCACCTCCACCTCCTTCAGAGACTACGTATGGGCACGGTGATGTTCATTTCCTGTCTTGCCAGCTCAAGGAAGAAGATTAATTTCAGACACCCCCTGTTTCAGATCATCATACTGAAGGTCATACATCTTGGGATCATTTTTCCTACTACATTTTGTCATTGCCTTTGTTGAGGATGAAAATAAGTGACTTGCCTAAGGTCAACTAGATCCATATATAGTTCCTATCAAAATAAATGAGAATATATTCATTAGCTCAGCTTTTGTTCTTAATAAGGATTTCACTTAAATTTCTGGACCTTCTAGCATCTTAGTTGCTCTCGTTTGGTTAGGGTGATCTCACAAGCTGTTTTATCTACTATAAGATTTGCCAGTTGGTCAAACACAGAAGTTTTCATAAAGCAAAATACTTATTGCTACTTGTTTATTTAGTGTTAACTAAATGTTATTTAATCAAATTTTGTATTTTTGAAATGTCTGACAGGAGACTAATAAATAGTATTAACAGTAGTCTCTATAGTGGCTTGGATCAGCAGTTCATGGTTTCTCAGACAGATTTGTCCCAAAGAAGGTACGGTCCTGGGTACTTAGAATGAGGTTGCACTCATTTCCTCTAAGTGTTAATGCTGGGAGTTTTTTCATCTTTCAGAGGAAAAAAGTGTCTCCAGTTCTTGCAGCATTTGGGTTGAAAGATTCGCTTGGTTGTGAATGTGTGGTTGAATTTCAGTTTCTCTCTGAATATCATGCAATGAGAAATTGGTGTAGTGGAAGTACAGTCCGGAGATAAAGCTGATAGGAGTGAGTTTGTCACCTCTGCTCTTTCACAACATAAATTTTGGAGGCATTTAACCAAGGTGCTGATCCTCTGAAATTTTAAAAATTGAAAGTTAAAGAGGGTCTTTGATGTGTCAAGTAGAGGAGGAGTTATGTTACTTTTAAAGAAACAGTGGGTGACTTCAGAAAAGTAGTTATTTAGTACTTCAGGCTGTGTTGAATTCTCTTCTATCGTTTAGCTCCTTCATTTATTTAACAAAGATCCACTCTTTTCTTTAACATTCTTCTTTTTCCCCAAATGTATATTTAAAAAGATATATGAAGTACAAAAGAGAAAATGTATGCTAAAGATGTTGTGTGCTATTTTTGACCTTACAATGCATACCACCTTACAATGTATAGCAGTGCACATCACATCATAATGTGTATGTGGACCTGGACGTACTTACAACGTAATGAAGAACCAGGCACTCAGATGTTTGTGAAAAGTAAGGCTTATCAATTAACAGATCTTAAGAAAATAATGGCACAGAAAAATGCTGATTTTAAGACTTGAGAAAGAAAAACTGTCAGATGCAAATTTATGTGGAAGGGTACCCTTTGGCTGTCTAGTCCATCTGTCTTCTATCATATAGAAAAACTCAACAGAATATTGAAATTCTGAGAATAGTTGATTTATTGGCTTATTTGGAATTTGTGAGGTAAGAGCATGTAGTATAAGGCCTATAGCTCCATGATCAAAATTAGGCATTCATACTATGCTGTTTTGAATACCAGTAAAACTAATTTAGCTTTTTGGCTCTTCAGCAAAAGGGAAATATTTTATTACCGCTTTATTAGTGGTTCACACTTCTATAGCCCTTTTGGGGCAGAATTATCAAACTGGTATATTAACCTTAAAACTAAGCCATGCAGTGGAGATAAAAGCCTTTTCTATCTTGTAATATGTTGCTAGTGACATAGATTGTAACGGAGAGTCAAGAGTTTATTAAACGAGAGATTATGAATCGCATACTGACTTTTGTTTTCTGAGTTTCTCAGTCTTTTCATCAATCTCTCACTCTGAAGGAGTATAAACCTTATGTCACAAAACTGATAAATGCATGATTTACGTTTCAGAAAAATACTTCCAAGGATAGTTTTAAGGGTTGCTTTTTAATCATAAGGTATTACAGTTAGAAATAATCAGCTCATGATTTTTCAGACTTCTGCAGGGTTGGATGTAGTAACTGACAGTGAAGATTTTGATCATGGTTTGGGACAAAATTCCGATGTTGCAAAACATGAAAAAGAAGCTGCAGGTGATGCGAAGAAAATTATACTTTCTGTTGGAAGATTGTTTTACCTGTACATTTTTAGATAATTCCTGTGCTAAATAGAGATTTTTTTATGGTGTAGTGTAAAGTAATGTAATTTACTCTAATTGTTACATTGCATGTTAATTTATTATTTGGATTAAATATCCTTGTGAGACAATGCTTCTCAACAGTTCTTACTGTGAAAAGTAGATTTATTGCATGCAAAAACTGCTAAAAGGTGTATTGGTAGGAAAACTGAGCTGGGTAGACATTTCTTCTTTGTTTGGCTGTTTTTTTTGTCCACAGATGTTAGCTGTTTTGTGTGGGAATAAAGGTGTTAGTTTATGAGTTTCTTGGAAAAAAAATTTTAAAGCTTTGAATCCATGAGATGTGGACTGAAGCGCCAGAGGACATTAGTGGAATGTTAGGTGAAATCCATAGGGAAATAATTCAACAGCAGCATCTGGAAAGGAGCTGTATGTGGCTTTAGGGTTTACTTTTAATGTAAGTAGTTAAGATGAGATTAAATATAGGTGTTAGTATGTGAGAAATGGGGGAGCGAGCTAAGTGATGAAGGTATATCATGTGGAACACTGGGATGAGGAAAAAGATTTAACAGAATCCATGGCTAATCGCAGCTGAATTTTTAAAAACCTGGAAACATAGTTTGGGTTGAACTACACGTTGGAGTCATACAAAGAAAAAAACAGCTTACATGAAGAATTTATTGGAAAAAAGAAGAGAGAGGATGGGCAAGTTCCTTGGCCATGCTGTGTCTCATTTTTGCTGGAGTAGCGTGAAGAAGATGGAAAGTTAAGCTACTACGCCAGCTGGCTCTTGCCAGAACATAGAAGAATCTACTGCTGATTGGGAATTGTCTCTTGTCTCCCTGTCACTTTCTGATGTTTGGGATTTGTTTCAGTTGCGTAAGCATAGTTGTCTGGTGCCATTTGAGATGCCCTAGGGTAACAGAAAGCTCAAAGGTCTTGCAGATACCACACAGGATCTGTGGGAGAGCTGGGTCCTCTGGACTGGTAGCTGGAGGTCAAATGGAATGTATCTCAAAAGCACTAAGCCTGTAATTAGCCAACTGAATTGTGTCGTTACTACTCAGCTTAGCTGTTTCTGAGGCTCTTGGTCCAGTGTTGACGATGCAGAGAAATGGCTTGATTCAGCTGCCCACGCTTCATTGCCAATGCTATTTAAGATGCTCTGGTCTTGGCCTTCAGGTGCCCAAAAAGACACAATCCCATGTGCTGTATTTTGGAAACCTTAAGAATATACCAGTATATAAATGGACTGTAATGGGACACTTAGCATACCTGTAGACACCTATATGTATAAGGCCAAGTTATCTTAAACTCCAATTGAATCTTACTATTAAGGACGTTTCAGAACATTTTGAACTTGGTGGTATGGTTGGACTGCCGTTTAGTCCCTAATTATGATTGATCAGCAGAATTTAGAACAATCCGTCGGCCAAGATTGTTGTAATTATTGGTCATAGTAAGAAGCAAGTACAACTGATGGTAATACCATTAGATGTATATGACAAATTTCACATGTGGTTAACACTTACCCACTTATCTTATTACCAGTTTTACAGAAATGCACATTTTTTTCTCATCTGTTGCACATCTTATTACTCAGAATATCAGTCCTGGAAAAAAAAAAACTTACTCATTTGCAAAGTCAAGAAATGGTAGCAGTAAACAATTAGGAAATCTCATGATTCCTTTTGCCATGACCTCTGTTCTGCTCATTCTTAAACTCTATGATCTCCTTCTATTTTTCCCTTTGTCATAGGTTCTCCAGTCCGTTTTGATCTACTTAAAATCTTGCTGTATCACTTTTTAGTTTAATAAATTGGAAATTTAACCAGTTCAGCACAAGTCTCAAATACAGTATGGATATCTTTACTAAGGTATATCGTTATGATCTGTGTACTTTTTAATAAGCTCATGAAAACTGATTAAAAATTTTAAATTTTTATTTAAAAATAAGGCTTCCTATCTATCTTTATTTCTAGATTTTAAATAAGGAACATTTTCAGTAGCTTTAATTGTTATCAGTTCAATGGACAGAAAAAGATACTCTCTAAATATATTTAAGTGGTTCCATTGTGGAAATGAAACATTTTTTATGACATTAAGCATGGTGTAGCATTCAAGATACCATAATTTTCTCCCTACTACTGGGAAATTATTATGGTAACACTTTGCAGATGTTTTTTTTTTTTTAAAGAGGAGCTTTATAAATTTCAAATTCTCCTGAAGGACGAGTTGCCAACCATGGTTAAATAAATAGCCATTAAACGACTGTCATTTTTATCAGTGTCTTTTGGAGAGAAAGCTAAGGAAAATGTAGTGATGGGCCAGTTGTACTTGAATTAAAGATTTCCTTGGTCTGTTAGGCTCTGGTTTCTGACACAGAAGGTGATTTTGATGACTGTAATAATTGAGAGTCAATTCACTTTCCGCTTTTAACTTGAGTTCGTAAAAGATCTATTCATAACATTCGTTTTTATTGACAGTGAGGTATTTACCAAGGCATATCTAATAGGATGGATGGGCCGGTTCTTCAGTGTATTCATTTTTTCCCCACTGATATCCCAAAGCATTGTAAAGGACAAATTACTTTCACATGTTGGTCTTGTAAGGATGATTGTGCCTCTGCTTTTTCAATGTGTATGGAAAAACACCCTTCCTTCTGCCTTCTAGAATTCTTGTCTTTAGTCTTGCCTGTAAAACACCATACAACATACACACCATAATACTGTTACCATAAATAATAGTAAAGGAAAGTGTGGGAGGTTTTGGCTCCAGTGTCATCAGTATGCTGTTGATCTCAGTTCTCTGTATCCTTTTCATCCAACCCAGATGGCAGAGTATAATTACTTTTCCAGACTTTGACCAAGATAGGGATATGGATGAAAGTGAATTGGCTGCAAATCAACTTGGTTAATGGAGAAACGTTGCTTGTTAGCCAAGGGAAGCATTTAGGGAAATAGAAAAAGATAATGTATACACCATGTCCTGAAAATACATTTTTAATTTTTGCACGAGTGGCTAGCTGTATTAGGATCTTACAAACAACAGAGGCTTCTAGTACCTTTTGTTAACAATGATTTCATTGTAACGGAGGTTTAACTGTGGTTGTATATGCCTCTGCTACCGCCTGACTCTAGCAATACATTCCCTTAATTGTTATTTTTCAAGTGATCAAAAATCTGTGACTGCAGCACATGCCTGTCTGCTTTTAGGTTGTATGAACTGCTAGCTATGCTTGACACTTGTACTCAAAACTGCAATTGCACATGCTCTACATTTGTAGAAAATGGGAACAAATGTTTTGTAGAAAATGGCAAGCAAAGTTGTCAGTGATAATTCAGACAGTTCAGAATCATCCTGTTACTTGATAGACTTGAGGTTATGAGGAATGTTGAATAAAATACATGCCTGAATATCAGAGAAGGAGCTTCTTGGTTTTCAAAGACTGTGAACAGTCTTTGGGCTTGGTTTTATCCTTCTGAATTTTTGTGCTCTATTGCTACTACTTTTTTCAGCACATCCAGCAATATTGCATGGAATTGGACATGGTTTGCAGTTGCTCCTGGAGCTAGCTTCAGTAGAACTAGCTCTGTCTGTTACACTCTCTATTCAGAGCACAATTCCTGAGATTTCATTTTTTCATGGCTGTCTGTCAAAGCAGCAGTTTCAATGGCCTGCATCAGCTTGCTGAATTTTCTCATCTACTTGCTTGCATTTGGCAAATTTTAGGGCATGACCACCAGAAATGTTTGTGTGACTCTGTACTGACAATGAGTCATTATCCTTGGCAGTGTAGTTATAATGGAGCATGAACTATTGTGATTTTGATTATTACAATTTAAAATGCGTAACTTTATGTAATCCACAGTGTTCACATTTCTCATCTGTGCTTATTAAAGGGAAGAACTTCTAGGAATCTGTAACTATCTTACCATATTCATTTCTGTGTGATTGCCAATATAGTTTCATGGACTTTGTTTAAATTACTAAAAGTATCAGCATATCTGAAGAAGAATAAGATTCTAAAACATTAAAAGGTGTAAATTAAAAATAAATCTAGAAAGTTTTATTTTTATGTAAATATTTCTCCTGAATATGTGTATATCTAATATTTGAAGTAATACTAATACTTACATTTTAGGTAGTAATATTTACATATATTTTATCATAAATTTTTATGTTTTGAATAGGCAGTTTTAATAGGTGCTGCTGTTTCCCATTGCGTAGGCTGAGAAAAAGCTTTTTTTAGTTTTATATCCACCATAACCATTACTGTGTATATGAGATGTAACCAGCAATTAAATTTTATTTTGTCACTTCATTGTACCTTTGCTTTTCACAGTCTGTGGGGATGGAGATGGTATATGAAAAGTTATAAAGCAAGAACATCATCAAAACGGAACCCTGAAATCGTGGTACTTAAGTATTAGTTGTTGACTTTTAAAACGGTGAAGGATGGGAGGAGATAGATACCCACTGCAGCTTTATCTTCGTTGCAGCTGTAGTAAATATTAAGTCTTCTTTCAAACTAAGCTGTGAGATTATATTCTTTGAAAATGGCTATGATATCACAGAGCAGATAACCAACAGGGTCGTGATGGAATTGTTGACTAGTCTGTTCAGATACAATTCAAAAGTCTTAAAAAAGCTAGCAGTTATAGGCTAGCAATTTGTTGTTTTATATCCTGCTACTGGGAAAAACACATGCTTGGTTTAGTAGTTCACTGTTGCTCTTTAATGCATACAGGAATATTGTTACCTTCTGTGCTCACTTCGAATGATGGAGAAATCTGAAAAAAGTCCAGTTTATAAACTGATGTAATTATAAAGAAACGTTTGGTAATATTGCAAGATCAGCATGGCAGCCCAGTTAAATATAATTTGTTTAACTAAGCGAAATAGTTTCAAAATGTATTCCAAAACCACAACATGATAGAAAACAATAAGGAAACTTTAACCCTATTTATTACTTTTGAACTTGGCACTTCCTAAAGAAAAAGGAAAATGAGGAATAGTATAACAATGAAGGTTGGTTTAGTCTTTGATGTGATGGGAAAAGTACAACAGAAATAACTTTCAAAATTTCATGTATTTAAAAACATATATATAAGGTATTAGAACTTATTATTATGCTTTTAAAATAAAAGTGAAAGTAAACACCTCCAGACCATACTCAAATATAAGACTATCTTTTCCATTAAATGAAAAGGAAAGAGTCAGGATTTCAGTTTATGTATATTCATAGTTCAAGCTGAGTTCACTTGAGTTGGTTATATGAGGCAAATTACATGTTGGAGGCACCTACAGGTTTTGTTTGCATCTCTGAGCAGCTAAGCACATCCCCTGTAAGAGAAAGGGTAAACTCCAACTCAAAGAAAACAATATTCAGCAGGTGTTTCACACAAAGTGAAATGTGAGAGTTGACCTCTTCTGATCTATTACAAAGAAAAATATCCCGAGAAGAGAGGAATTCCTTCTCTTATTCCCTCTGTTTGACTCCTGCAGGCAGAGATTATGTTGATTTATTAACTCGATAGTGCTTTTGGAAAGTATGTTATTTTGTATTTGGCCTAACAGAAATGTTCTTCCATACGGAAAGGAGTTGCTTATTAGAGCTGTTAATACGTGAGGTCTCTTGTTGCATATTACTAAAACCTGGGAGGTATCATGTTGGGAAATCAGCTTGCACACTTGGTAATATTTCTGTGATTCTCCTGTCAGGAAGTGATTTAACACACATGCATATTGTGGCTCAATTTGCTCTTTTATGAGTGGACTTGTACTTGTGTCACAGACAGAACTCTTTTAGATGCAAATTTGGTATGTTTTTTCTTGTCGGAGGCCTCTGATTGTAAGAAGACCCTTGTTTGTTGCTTGGACAACACATTATCCTTTGGGATTATTCTCATAGCAACTGATCACTGTATAATCCTCCATGTAAGGAAATGATGAGGCAGGATCAGAGAGAGTTAATATACAAAACAATAACTTTCCGAAGTAGCTTACAACTGCTGCTGCCCTAATCTGGAGCATATGACGCTACTGGTCTCCATCAGAGAAGCTTATACTTAAGTGACAGCTATTAGAAGCTACTGTTACTTTGTGTTATAGGTACTATTGACAGAAGGGTGCAAAGAGAGGGAGGAGAAGCCTCCATTCAACTCCCAGTATATATGATCACTTGGGGTAAAGAAATGCTTCAAGGGTATATATCCGATCTGCATGGCAGGAAGCAAGGTTCGGATATTGTGAAGAACACTGAACTAGGAGATTTCTCTCAGTTTAATTATCAGGAAGCTGCAAGGGCCAGGTGCTCCCTAAGGCAGGGGAGCCAAAGGTGAACAGGGCTGGCAGGGTGGGGATGTCAGCCTGGTCCTGTAGTACCCAAGTGAGCTGAGCAGGGCAGGACTGGAGATGGTAGCCAAGTTCAACCAAGACTCCGGATCATCAGGGAAATTTGTGGTGATGAGGCAGGTCCGAAGTTGAGCTGGGAGTGCAAGTCAGTGAGTCAGGATCACAGTTAAGCCCACTGATGGTAATCAGGGTCAGCCACAGCCCAGTGACTCCTTGGCAAGTCTGTAGCGATAAGGGAGGTCAAGCTGGAGAGTCAGTTGAGGGATCCCTGGGTCCATGGGCAGGAGAGCAGGGAGAGGTCCTAGGGAGAGGGTGGTCAGGGCCACTAAGACCTAGGGAAGGCCTTCAGGGGGGAGACTAGATTACTGAAACAGAATCATGAGTAAAGCTGATGGGAGGACAAGAAGTAACATCTGCTGTCTGAGCATTTTCTTACTATACTCCCATTTCACAAACTGACGTGTGAATGGTATATTTACAGGGGAGTTACTTGAAAACAAGAGGCAAGAATTCAGTTGATCTGAATAGCTTCTGAATGAGTAGCTTGGGCAGAAGGACAGAAACCATGTCAGTTGCTCAGGACAGAAACCATGTCAGTTGCTCCAAGGAGGGGCCCTGAAACAGGAGTTACAATCCTCTTTATTGGACTGATGCTGCTTAAAACACGTGCTACATGTTGCCTTTCTTATACCTAGAAAGCTGCTGTTGTATAAACCTGTAAGATAGCAGTCCATGAGGACGTGTTTTGGGTTGAAACGATCTGCTGCGAGGGGGAAGGTTACTTCCTCTCTCCTATGTATTTACCTGTCTTCCAAATTCTTAGGGTTTTCGATGAATATCCTGTGAGGGAGGGCTTTGAGGCAAAGGTGAAATGCAGCAGGAGGGTAGACTGGGAACTGTATCAGCAAAGAAGTGTGAAAACTTCATTTAGAATGAGAAAAAGAAGATATCACCAGCTGAGCTCTAGAAGGAACTCCAAAAGGGTTTGTTCTCTTGATCCCACATTAGGTGACACGTAGTTCATTTGAAGCAGATTTCTGCTTGAGATTGAAACACCTAAATGAAGACATGTAGGTGTCTATAGTAGCTTTAAGTTGCTCTGATAGCCAGTGGAGATCTAGAGCAGGACTCAGTTGCCTAAACATAGATGCCTAGTCCCATTTGAAACACCTAGGGTATATGAGATGTTCATATGGGGCAGGTAGCTCTGACCCAACACGTACAGGAGCCCCTTTTTTTCTGGAATAGCGTTCAGTCCCCTAGTCAAGCACAGTTAAAACCAACCTGGGACTGCAAGTCATCAGCCACTAGGTGTCAACTTCAGGATGAACGGGACTTTTTGTGTTCCACCTGCTACATTAAATTATATAGCTGTAATTGGAGTTTAGATATCTAGCATGCCTTTAGACATCTACATGTAGAGAGCAATTTAGAAGCTCAATTCAGTTGCCTAAAGAGATGTGTCTAGGGCCATTTAAGATGCCCTACAGTGTCTGGACATCATGACAGAATTGAAATGGGACCTATAGCAAATGGGTGAAATGGGACCTGGGCCCTTCCTAAACAGCACTTCGGAGGCCATCACTCTAAAGTCATCCAGAATGACTCTGGGTACATATGTTTAGGCAATAGAAATCAACTGAGGTAACTTAACCTTTAGCTGAATATCACTTTAAATCTTCTGTAGCTTTGGAAGTCTGATTCTAAAGTATTTTCAAAAGGCATAGTAATATATAGATGGTATTTAACTTTTTTTTAATCTATAACCATATGTCCATGGTAGTATAGATTGGAGTGTGACTTGAATTTTGTAGTTTTGTGTTAAGAATATTATATTCTTAACACTGCAATATTTGTACAAGCTCGAAAGCATTCCCTATTCATGTCATTTTTCTCCTTTTGAACTGTCAATTCATTAAACTTCCACCCACCTGATAGAATTCTTTTTCAAAATATTCATTTTTAATTTCTAAGACTGTAGATTATTAGTTAATATCATTTGCATTATTATGACCTTTTTCTTCACCATTAAACTCCTCTTGATGAACAGGGTTAAACTGAGCAACTGGCCACTCTAGCAGCTTAAACATTTATAGTTCAGCTGAATTCCCCCTGGATTTACAATTGTTTCTTCTATTTTTATATGAATGACTTGTATTTTCTTATAAACAGCCTTGCAACAATTTTGTAAGTGTGCTGCTAGATTATATTAGAATTTCATAATTAACAGAAATGCCAGTAGAAATGTTAGCGCTGTTACCTTACAATGCAAATCTCTACAGTGAATTCCCAGTCAGTTCAGATAATTTCCTGATATATCTAAACAACTACTCTTTCATGAGCTTGCACAAGCCCTCTAATACAAAATAATGGCAGACTTCTACGCACATTCAAATTAAATTTGAAGAGGTGGACTAAAGTAGTAGTTTTGGCTCTGCTCTCCAGTACAAGAAAGGCATGGACATACTGGAGTGGGTCCAGCAAAAGGCCATGAAGATTAATGGACTGAGCATCTGTCATATCAGGAGAGGCTGAGAGAGCCGGGACTGTTTAGCGTGAAGAAGAGAAAGCTTGGGGGGAATCTTAGCAATGTTTATAAATACCTGATGAGGGGAGTAAAAAGATGGAGCCGGACAGTTCTCAGTGATCCCCAGTGACAGAAGAGGCAATGGGCCCAAAC